CAAGGCCCAGTCTCACCAATAGCTATGTATTTTACGAACACCTTTGTCCTTTTGCCCCCATTTCTCTTAATTTCACCCTCACTTTATATCTGTGGCTTTGCGGGTAAGATGGATTAAATTTAAAATTATCGCTTTTGCCAGTTACCTAGCAATCTTGTCTCGACATGTTAACACTATAACAGTTGTTTATCTCCGAACCTTTCCGATTTTTTTGGAAAATAAAACAAATGTATCAGTTCGGGGCAAAGGGGCTACCACAGAAAGGGGCAAAACGCCATGGGGGGCGTCTTGCCCCGCGTGATGGGCGTTTTGCCCCACTCAACCCACCTACCTTACTTTTAATTTATAAACTGAGGGAATGATAACATAAAAGGTGTTATANCCCCCCCTTTAATTTTGACTAGCTGACTCAAAAACAGACTATCAAATGGTTCGGTCACCTGGCACGAATGCCTCCACATCTGCCGGGGAACAAAGTGCATGTAAAGAAACACTCCGGTTTTAAGGCAAGGGGAAGACCGAGAAAGAAGTGGGTACATGTGGATGGAGTACCGAGAGATTTTGCAATCTAACAACATCCCACTCAACCAAGCATTCCAGCTAGTCAGGGACGGAAAACTCAAACTCTTTCTCCCCTTGACACCGTAAAGGGTATAAGAAGGATGACAAAAGAAAGAAAGAAAGAAAGAAAGAAAGAATACTCGTAGTTCTAAACCGTGCCAAATGGCACCCATTGCTCTCTCAAATACCAACAACCTGTATCAACCCCTGTGTTTTTAAGATAGGCTATACCTCGTTATTAAATAGTAGTTTAGGTTTTGCAAATGGCAAAATGCTAACAATAAAGTTAAAATGATAGGAAGTGTTTTGCGTATTATGTTGAATGATATTAAGTAATATTAAGAAATATCATAAATCGTTAATTATTTTCTTGAGTCTGCACTACTCTCCATCTCCAGAAGCAGTTCTTGTGTTTTAAAATTGTAATGTGTAACATTTTAAAAGTGGTTTTTCTCAACTTACAGCTTGGTATGGATTTGTAAATTGTTTTTATTGCTCTGAAATATAGGTGTAAGTTGCGTTTGTTGCATTTTCATTTGTGAGTAAATCCAGTTTTCATAGCTTACGTTGTATGAGAAGTAAATAACAATTTAAGATAATCCTATCCTCTCGGTGAAAGAGCTTACATACGCATGATTAAAAAAACAACAGAAAATGAAAAAAAATGTTATAATTCAAAGAAGAAATAACTGAAATTAGGAAAAACATTCTTGGTTCATTCAAAACAAGGGATATTGTTGGATTTGGGGTAAAACGCCCACCATGGGCGTTTTGCCCAGTGACAAAAGGCTTTTTGCCCCACCCATGGGGCAAAAAGGCCAAAAAATTTTTTTCCTAATTTTAACCATTGTGTCTTTTCTTTTGCAACTATTTATAAATGCATGTTCCAGACTGAACCCCATATCAGAACGACAATATCGGTGCCAATTTGGATGGAATATCTTTTTGACAATGGAAACTAGAGGGATTCTTCCTTAAGGGGTGCGTTTTGCCCCGCTCTCCCCTACGCATAATAACTTGCGCCAATTAACATCTAATGCGCAATCCTCATCAAACATTGCAAAGTACCCAACTGAACAAATAAACACCAAATTTGAAACAGCGTGGTTTTAGGCCCTATTTATGTACCATACGTTACAATTTTCAGTAAATATTCTGACATTGGTTGGCTGTGTAAAACGGACAAATTGAACAGAGACAAACGGAATATTATAAAGGATTATCCATTTTACATACTGCTTATTATAAAATACTGTTTGATGCTTAAGTATTGTCTACACCTTATCATTTATCTTAATGAGAAATGGGACTTTTTAAGGAATCAACGTAACATTTGAGTGGTGATTTATCAAATTAGACACATCCATGAATAAATTACAAAGTCTGTGCATTAACCAGCTAAAATATAACCTTCAATACGCGATTTATAACATTACTCGCTAGTGGCGGATATTGATTTCTGACGGGCGAAAATCCTTCCGGCTGTAGCCCTGAGACTGTTTGCAGAGTTCTATCTGCCTCGGTATATCTATCAGGATGTCAATCTCTTCTGTTTGCAATACATGAATAAGTACAATATTACTGCCACAATGTATTACAAATAACCCCCTCCTCCCCCCCCC